ATGCGAGCCGGCTGACATAATGAAACCATGAAACCACTTTTTGCTGCCATTTTCTCTCCCGGGACGGAGCGGCAGTCCACATCATCACTGTGAAATCTGGCCTGCAGGAATTATTGATCACACACAGGAGAGCCAATCAGTGTCAAGCGTGCGTGTGTGCGCATGCACGTGCATAATTAAACTGGAGCATCAGTAGCATGGCTGCAAGTCACCAAAATGTTTTCCCACACCTGTAATGGAGCACATTTGCCATTTGATTATTTGAAATCTGCAGGAGGTTGCAGAAAATCCAAACGTCATGAATTTGCTGCATAAAACGTTGGTAGCTCTAATGTACACCCAGTGAGAGAGCCCAGCTCATTTGGCGAAATACTATTCCAAACTCCATTTTACAAGCCCCAATTAAATGATACAAATTTGTGGTTTAATCAGTTGAAATTCATTTCATTTAAATTGGTTCAATTTAAATTCACTGGTGAGAAACAACTAAGTCCAAATACTTTATTCGGATACTCAAGTATTTACATTTTTAATCTGTTCTTCGGTAGATGTAAATAGACAAAGGAAAAGTCAAGTACACTTTTCAAGTTTTGTCGTAGAGGTATTTGTCTGAGCTTTTTCAAGGCTCATTTTAGATACTTGGAGATTTTTATTGATTTATTAACATATTTTTAAATCATTCAAATTTGTCAGGGTTGTTCACGCTCTTCTGCGGTGTGTCAATTTAAAAAAAAAAAATATATATATATATGTCTCACCCCTCGGGTGGTTTCCATCCCTCATTCAGCTCGGGTCCTCTACCAGAGGCCAGGAAGCTTGAGGGTTCTGCGCAGTATCCTTGCTGTTCCCAGCTTGTCGTAAATGTGCTGTCTTCTATCTTAATTTAATAATTAAAGCATGTACTTTTTACTTTTATTTAAGTAAAGGACTTCAATTAGTACTTACGTGTGTGTGTGTGTGTGTGTGTGTGTGTGTGTGTGTGTGTGTGTGTGTGTGTGTGTGTGTGTGTGTGTGTGTTAGAACAGAGTGCGAGTACTTTTGCCACCTCTGCTTGAATCAATTATTTTTAATTTTTTTTCAACTTTAAATGTCATTTTACTGGAATCTCTTTTTTTTTTTTTTTTTTTTTTTTTTGTATTTATTCAAAAGCTGATCTAAGTAAAAAGTAAGAAGTGACCTATGCTCATGAATATTCACCCGGTCCTTGAAGGTGAAGACCCGGATCAAATCTCCTCCACGCGGAGTGTGTCCGATGGGAAGATGAAATCTTTTTGAAGCGTATTAATGATTGACTTATTCATGAGAGTCTTCCTCGGAGGACTCTTTGCTCATTTTGATTCCACATCGTACGAGGAACTGAGAGAAATTGTGATGATGCGAGAGATGCCCGTGTTGCGAGCGTGCGTACAATCGGAACGACGCTTCTTGTCATCTTATTGTGTTTTGTTGAATCTCGGGATTGGAATGGAGAGGTGTTCCTAATGAAGTGTCCAATCCCATTACTAGAAGTAGGACTGGACGATCAATAGGTTCTATCAGATTATTTGATTGATTGATTGATTGATTTATATTGTTGTGGGGTGATTTATGTTTTAGCAGCTTTCTTCCTTCAAATTGTGCTCCCTCTGATGTGCGCTGCTCACACGAACAAAATGGCTGCCAACACAAACTCTCGTTTATATAAACAGTCAGTGTTGACAATGAGCAATTTTTTCCGGGCCGCTTGCAACTGTTTATTTAAAAAGTGACTCATGTTTTTAATTCCCTCTCAGAAAGAGAAAGCCCGGGGACCAGTGTACTTGGTCTCCTTTTTTTGAGTTGTTAAGTATGTCCATAAACGCCTCAGAAATGTTGATATTGCCGTAAAATCGTCAAGTTTGATACATTTTAAGGTTGTTGTTGTCACCATTTCCTCATCACCGCGGTGTAAATAAAGTCCCATGACAAAATTCACAAATACATGAAGAGATCTTGGACTTTGAATTCCTCCCTCCACATTTCTTAACTGATACAAGGCAATTCAAATTCCAACTGTTCGGCTCAGTCAGGGCACCATGAACTGCTCGCGCGGACATTCACGTTCTCAGAATTTCCGCCTTTTTCCCAGTATTCCACATTTTCCATGGCAACTTTCCCAACTCCTTGCCGACATTTCCCATTGTGATGTCTTCCACTTTTCTCGACCATTTCAAGATGATGATAAAAGGAATGTGTGTTTGCTCATCCTAGTCACCATGGCAACCATTTAGGCCCACACTTTGCCGCAATTACCTTTGGTGTCATTTCAGCTCTTTTGTTTGCTTGCGGATTCCGTAGACCACTTCATGCCTTCTTGGGTCACAAAACGCTGTCATTATAAGGCAATCTCACACACACACACACACACACACACACACACACACACACACACACACACATTTGCTGTCTAGTTATGACAATGAAACACTGTTGCTTCGCAGAGCTTTTTGTGTAGGATTATAATATTGATTGTGATGTGATTGTTCATGATGATGTTTGTGCTCCATCTGATCATTATTGCTAATCTGTTGCCACTTTTTTAGCATTGTTCCAGTCAGTTTTCGCATCAAACCTTAACTCTATCATTGCGATAGTCAGATAGCGTGACCACCAGCATGTTTCAGCACTGTGGTCATAAGTTAATGCTTTGAACTCGATTTAATTAGCACAGTTTGTCAGCTAGTACGCGTTCTTAGCATTGTGCTAATCAGCTAATGCATCAACCTTCACTTTCAGTAGTGCACTAGTTAGCTAGCAATGGTGGAGGCTCTGTTAGCTTTTCCCTTAAATAGCCTTGTGTATAATTAGCAGACTGAGTTAGTTTAGCATTTATATGTGTTTAGTGGTCAATGATCTTTTTTCCTGTTAGTAAGACTAACAAAAAAATGCTTGGGAAAAAACGTAATGACTGAATAGAGGGTTGTAATATTTAGACCATGCTCTGTATGGAGTGAACCAGACATTTATTGATGTCGAAAGTCAGTTGGAGAAGTGTGCTAAGCGTTAAGAAGCTAATAAGTATTGTTGCTGTGCGGACACAATGAAGTGGTCAGGATTGATTGGTTATTGATTTGCGGCTTAACACGCTAAACTCTTCTTGTTGTTGTCAGATGTAGTCGAAACTGTTAGCGTGCCACACACACACACACACACACACACACACACACACACACACACACACACACACAAAAGGCATCATTTAGAATTACGTCGGAAGGTTTGTGTGTTGATTATGTCTGTACAAGTGTTCGAATTATTGAAAGATTCGCCTCAGGCTTTGCCTTAACCGAAAAACATCGAGCAACAGCAGGCATAGGGGAGAAACTCAAGACGGCGCCTTCTCTTCTGCTTTGAATTAGTGTCCGAGTCGGGTGTTTAAGTTGACAGCTTATTGATTGGTGGTCAAATCAGGTGCTTAAGTTAGTTGTCTTCGTTCACTAGCTGTCTTAGGTCGTTGTCTAAGTTAGGGGTTTAAGTCAGGTGTCTACTGCTGATATGTTTCCTTGGACTACACACACAAAAAAAAAACATTTTTTTACAAACAAAACCAATGGTACAAAATGTTTTTTTTTTTTTTTTTTATGCAGATTTCCAGCTGCAAACCGTCAAGACTTGTCAAATCACATTCAATTCAAAATCAAGTGGAGGCCCACAAGTTTTCAGCAAGCCAGTCCCAAGTCCTATATTTCACTCTACCTGGATTCCTCTCCCCCACATCATTTCCATCATTTGCATTGCTCTGTGCATCGGTTCTTTGCAGACAAAGTGAAGAAGTGCAAGCGTGATGTGGAAAATGTCTGTACCGATATGATAAGCGCTCGTGTTGTTATTGTTGTTGAGTTTGAGTCAATGGGGTTGTGTAGTTATCAATTGTTTGACGTGCATCCTGAGCCACCGCAGAGCTCTCTGATATATTTACACCACCAACATAGCCAGGTATGTTGTTCATCACCCGATAACACACACACACACACACACACACACACACACACACACACACACGCACACACACAATGACCAGGGTAAATGAAGAGACAACATTTGTCTCAGCAAGCTCTAAATCAACTCTTTACATGGGGATTTAAATGGATTTGTTTAACGCTCATTAAAAATGCATCTAAAGCATTCCAATAAGTTTGGATAAATGTTCTTGTTGAATAACTGCTCTTCCGTTGGCATCCAAAAAGCCTTAAGCAGCTCAATTAGCATTCACTATATCTACCTATGCTCTCATGATTAATTTGTTCCAAAAACTGTCTGACTACAACCAAAATGTATGAGAAGCAAAGAAATATTTCCAACAGGAAATAATGTAAATCAAATTAATCTGTTCTAGAAACCCCCCCCCACATATTCACAAAAAATGTTTGTCGAGACTAACTATAATTTAACATGCAGAAAACAATGTGAAATACATAGAAATGACTATTGAAATGGATAAATCAACATTAAACATCACTTTGACCTCATTTGAACTAATATCACCATTTACCTCAATAACATGAGTGACAAGCCATTGTCAGATAGCCAGGCGCCACTCACGTATCAGTCTTCATTTTGGTTTCACTTCCCCTCGTCACCAACGCATTCAACCCATTTAAGATCCAAAGAAATCAAAGCGTGGGCAAACAGGAGGGAGAAACCTACCAAAGTAGAACGCGATTGAGAAAGAAGCACAAGGGGGCCAGAAGGAAGCAAAAACCACTTCCAAGCAGGTTGAGGAAGTCCGTGATTTGCGTGTTGCCGCAGTGTTTTTGTTCACTGCCTTGCTCTTGTGTTGTGTGTTTTTGTGCTTGTTATGTATTTTCATTCTTACATAATTCAATTTCAAAACAATAAAAAAGGGAAAAGGGACAAATGTCCCTCTGCGGGCTGTGGGCAATTAAAGTCATAAAACGACAACGACGACTTGACGTGATGACTGGTTGGCTTCATGGTTGCAGCAAAATCATCTTGTTTATGCTCTTCTTATTCCCTTCCAGTCTGCGGACGTTCCTCCTCTTCTCTGCTTCCAGCTTCTTCAGAACTCCTTTTACATGAAGACTTTGAACACGCCAAAACACGAAAGATATCATCAAACATCACGAGAGGTGAGAACATATCTTTTATTCCTCTGATGCCAAGTTGCAGCTGGGAGATTTTCTTTTGAAGGAAGGCATAACAATCACACTTGAACGGTGTCCTGTTTCAGCTTCTTCAAAAGGATGATATTCGCCCTTCTCGAAAGAATCGTAATCGACTGGATTTGTGACGATTACACGCATTATCGTGGTTTTAGCTTTTCGGAAAACTTCCTCCCAGGGTCCAATCATCGTGAAAAAACATTGCATCATTATCATCCCGACAGTCAGCTGCACACATTTTGTAGTGCGATACACAAGCGAATTGTTTTCCAGTTTTCTTTTGCTCTCCGCTTCACGTCAGCAAGATGCCACCTCGCCCTTTATTGATTGGTCGTCAGGGGCAGAGGGACTATGTCAGAGGCGACTTGCCTCGGGCTGCCTTTCCCGGTGTGAGCTGGAACAACAAGCACAACGAGAGCCAGTGTCGAGCGGCCCCCATCCTCCCAGGACGCCGCGGGCCAAACAACAAATAATGGCTAAACGCGCTTAATGAGGACAAACGGAGTGGCGTGAGTGATGTGTCCTCAGGCCGGCACAGCTGCTAACACGCTAGCGTGTAATTGGTCGCCTTGAAAGCCGTCATTAGCCCGCCGTTGTTGCGCTTTTTTTCTCCCCAAAAAACAAACGCCGCTCATCAGGCTGAAAGAAATAAATGACAAAATGCTCTCATCCCGTTGATCGTTGCATAAAGTCTTTTTTTTTTTTCTTTGATGGCAAATTGCATATTTAAAATGGAAACATGGAACTGGTAAAAAAAAAAAAAAAACGGCAATGGAAACACGAACATGGTTAAAATAAAAATTAAAAATGACATTAAAGGATGGAAAAATATACTTGAACTAAAATGAATAAATGGATATATAAATCCAGTGAGCCCCCATTTATCAAGAGCAAACATTTGCAATATGGAGAGACCCTATCTTTGAAACAACACAGTGCTACCTTGAGATACAAGTTGAATTTGTTCCCTGACAAGAACGTGTGCTAGCTTTATGCGAACATGCAACCTGAAACATCATGAACGATTAACGGACAGTAATCAGAATACTTCTAACAACCGCTACTTACCGCACAGCGAGCAGCAACACCTTTGTCACTCCCGCATGAAGTGCACCATAAAACTCGCGCATGTAACAAAAAACAGGCTCACCAAAGTCCGCTAGCTCCATGCTAACATAGCATGTGAAATGCCATAGATTGGCTCGCAGCAATTAGCATCAACGTTGCGGTGATTGTAAACCTTCAAGCAAACTGCTACCTTGACACCCATGGAGCAGCAACACATATAAACATACAAAATTCTTCTTCTGTGTCGATCGAGCTCAGTGCTGCCTGGCATATTGTGGCACATCGTGGTACTACACTACACAGCGGGGATTTGACAATACTGTCAGCTGTGTCAAATAAAACATGAAACAACATCCACAAAACGCTTGCCAATTGCGTGTGTGTGTGTGTGTGTGTGTGTGTGTGTGTGTGTGTGTCATAAAAGGCCTGCTGTCAACACATGCGCACATATGCTTACAGCAGGCCTTTTATGACGTGCACACACACACACACACACACACACACACGTCGCCGTCATCATTGTTGTGTTGACCGTGAATGGTGTCCCAGAAGGTTTTCGTTGCATCGTCACTAGAGTGGGTCCTCCTGTGCTTTTGTGTGCGGCGTTTCATCAAAGTGGAGTTTTAATTTCCCCCGGCCGCACTTTGCATGCGTAACAATTGATTATTGCACGCTTTTATTCGTTTACGCTCCACTCATACACTTTGGCACTCATGAGGACTTTCACAGTCTCCTTGTTGCACTCAAAAGTGGAAGATAAATAAATAAAGAAATCACGGCAGGCTTCCGCAATGCCAAAAGTGTCTCTCTGAATCAAATCAGGACAAAGTGATTGTTTCTCTGTTGGCGGACCTCAGATCAGATTTTAATGAACGGAACACTTGACGATTACACTTTCAAACTCACTTTCGAACTTTCTTAGGTTTGCCTGTTTGCTGCGGCATACAATGAGATATTACATGTGCAACATTGTTCAGTTTTTGCGTCTATAAATGCCACTTGTTATCCAATCATTCTACTTCCTGTTTTCTTTGCTAATGTGACTGAAAAATTAGCATTGCGTTTGTGCAATATGAATGAAGAACCATAGCATAGCAGCCGTTTTGATCCACCTCAGGGGGCGGCCATTTTGCCACTCGGTTTCGCCTGAAGATGACATCACAGTTGCTCTGGGCTCAGGTCACGACCAATCATGGCTCAGCTTGCGAAAGTCAGGTGACCAAACGCAGAAAAACACCGCACTAGGCTGTGGCAATTTGTCACAAAGAAAAGGTCTTTGTTCATAATTATCTGTCATTGGGTTAGTTTAAACATTCCGTGTCAAAAACGAGCACGAGTGGAATTGATACTCTGTATCTCATACTCGTGGCTGGTGGCAAAAAAGTGGCATCGAACGTCCCGACTAAACAGTCAAAAATTGTGTTAACACCCGTGTGCCTTTGAATTAAGCGTTAATCATTTCTGATATCATTTGATGCGTTTCTGTGGAAGGATTTGCATAAATGTCGTCAATGCGTTTATTTATTCTGTCGACCAAAAACAAACAAAATGAGTCTCATCAAAATGTAAAAACGCTTTGCATGCGCGAGGAGTCTTTGCTCATTTGCATAATGTCGGGCTAAATAATTCATGCGCGGGAAGCCGAGCTCGCCGACAGGTGAGGCAGGCGAACTTTAAATCCACATACGCAAGCGTGTCAAAAAGACACAACTCCAAAAAAAAAAAAAAAAATGCTTTTTTGTTTAATCCACTCAGTCATATGTGACTTGAACTCTAATTTGAGTGTAGAAATTAAAATCACACAGCAAAGATCCATGTTTTTACACATCCATAGACAAACAAGGACTACAAATTATTCGCAGTTTTAAAAAAAACGTTTTTTTTACTCGTGCGGAGAAATATTGAACAGCAATACGTTTCAGCATTGATTCCGTATCGACCAGTGCACTTGTTTTCCTTACTAGTTAGGACAATTGAGCTCACAATAGAACGACAGGATAAGTAAAAATGTTTTTTTCCTCTCAACTGGACGTCTGCATGCTGCAAGCACTAAATGTTAACTAGTAGAATTTTAGAATGTCACTGAAGTACTAGTAGCACGCAGATGTGATCTATTGCGTGGTGTAGTTATACCAGTGCACCCCAGGCTGAATTGTCTGCCAAGAAAGTGACAAAGAGTGTGCTTGTACGTGGACACTTTGGTGTACTAGTAGGAATTCGAATACGTGCTCAAATTGCCTTCCACATCAGCGCACAAGTACAAGAAGACCGACAGCTTCTTACTAGTCACACTTTTTCCGCTGCTGCATTCCACTGTATGATATTTCTGCACACTCGGAGAACAAATTTGGCACACTAATAGGACAAGTACATTTGACTAGTGAGGCAAAATGGTGTAGTAGTTGACATCTGCGTGCACTAAATTGTCTTCACCGTGAAGACAAAGCTGGCTCAAATCATCTCATCGCCACTTCCCGACAGACGCCAAGATGACAAACAGCGTCAGTGGTCTCCCGCGTGAAGATAAAAGCGCGCGTGGGCTCAGGCGCGCCTGGCGACCCCATAAAGGTTTTGAAAGCGCAATAATGCCGTCAATGCACCTGCGAGAAAAAGATGGTGCATGACAAACTTGGTTAATGCTTTATGATGCAAACTAACTCACTAACCAACTAAATCAATGTATCATGACATCAGAAATGTGTCCTGAATGGATCGGACAACAAAATAACGGGCTACGTCAGACTAAATCATTGCAGAGTGAGATCAGACTAACTCAGTGAAACGCTAAGGAACTCAATCCAACTCGATCGCAAACTAACTCAGTGCCCCACAACCGAAATCACTGCATCGTGAGACCACAGATGAATTTAACTCTGCATCCCGACTACCAGCTCAATGCATCCCAACGACTGTCGAACAGTCACATCACATACGAACTCGGTGCATCTTAAACGAAGAACACCACCAACTAACTCGATGCGTCATGGCCATGCAAACGGACTCATGACAACACAAACTAACTCAATCACTCAGCCAATCGATCACCATAATCACAAAATAACTCAACGACTCGACTCATTGCTCGCTAACTCAATGGGTGGTGACATTACCGACGAACTCAGCCGATCACAAATGACTGGAGCTCATTAAACATCACGTAGTTCGTCCAACTCAATCCTCCCTAACATCACCAACTGACTCAATGGATCAAAATGATCTCATCAGCTAAAGAACTGAATCGTAGGTCGTCCCGAACTAACTCGTGACATCACAGACTAACTCGGCAAATCTTGACATCACTAACGGCTGTGTGTGCTCCATGTATTCTTCTCTGTCTTGTGTGTGTGTGTGTGTGTGTGTGTGTGTGTGTGTGTGTGTGTGTGTGTGTTTGCGTGTGTGCGTGCAAACGGGCTTGGACGTCGGCAGCATCTCCGTTTGACTTCTCTGCGTCCAGTCTAGAAGGAAGTGCGGGAGCGAGAGGAGCGCCGGGCATGCCGCCATGAGAGGAGAGAGGGGGAAGGCTGCGATTGGCTGGCAAACCCGTTCAGGGTGGACCCCGCCTACTGCCCGACGACAGCTGGGATAGGCTCCTGCAAGCCCGCGACCCTCGTGAGGATGAGCGGATTAGAAAATGGATGGAGAGAGGGAAGAGCCACCACCTGAATGATGACGTCGGGGAGAGAGAGCGAGCGCGCAAGAGGGAGGGAGGGAGGGAGGGAAGGAGGGAGGGGTCAGGTCTCTCCTTCCCTCCTCATTCAGTTTGCTCATCAGAACAGTCAAGCCGCTGGTAAGTTCTTCTTCTTCTTCGTCGTCTTTTTGCGTTCTTCATTTCAGGTTCCTTGAAGGCATTTTAAGGAGGGCAAAGTGGCGTCTGATTTTCTTACCATCAACTTGTTTGCCCGAGAGAGACAATCCAGCGCACTAGTAGAGCGAGAGATGTGCAGTGATATTTTGTACTTCAGCCTTCCTCTACTGTATCATATTTTTGCGCTCTAGTAGAACCACTCCATCTTCTTACAAGTGTCTTTTTTTTTCTCAATACTGCCTTCCATGACTACTTCTATTACCATATGGCATTTCTGCTCCACTGGTAGAATGACAAGGGTGCACTAGTAGACTAACTACATCGTCTCACTCGTGCTGCCTTGCGCTTCTACTACGGTTACTCCTGTCCAACATTGCAGTGCAGAACGACTAAGGCGCACTAGCAGAACGACTATTTCATCTCACTAGTGTCATTTTGCCCAGTCGCGTATAAAATGACCCACCTGCACACGAGCAAAACATCTTACTGCGGTCATTTTTGTTTTGCTTTTTACACTACTGCCTTCCATTACTATGTAACCTTCCTGCACTGTAGTAGAGCAACTGAAGTGCAAAGTAGAAGAGCGACGTCGTCTTACGAGTGACATTTTGACCACCACTGTATGCTCAGCACACTCGTTCAATGATTCGGGAGCACTAGTAGAACGACTGTCTCACGACTCCAGTAGTAATGTTTTTCCCACAATCGTAGGACCTTTTTGCACACAAGTCAAACAACTGGGGCGCACTAATAGAACAATTGTCTTACTAGTGTCTTTTTCTTTTTTCTTTTTTTTTTTAAGCACCACAGCCTTCCACCACTGTATTGTATAGTAGGACGACATCATGCACTAGTGAAACGGCTGCCATTTTATCCACTATTGTATGACATTTCTTTTCAGTAGTAGAATGATAACGATGCACGAGTAGATTGATTTTCTTAGTACTATTTTTCTTGGTTTCCAACTGTCTGACATGCCCGTGCACTATTGGAAAGACCACCTGTACTAGTAGCACGAATGTTTTCCCTGTGATCGTTTTCGCAACTCCTGTTTCACCTTTCAGCACACGAGTAGAACTGCCTTTTTAGTGATGTTTTTTTTTCCCAACTACTGGATGACGTTTCTGCTCAGTAGGGTGCACTAGTAAAACGACTAGGGCGCGGTGTTTAATGATGAAGAGGTGATTGATTCAAGTGTTTGTGTTCGTCTGTGAAGGACTTATCTCAGAACCAGGAGCCCGAACCCCAGTGCGCGTGCGTGTCAAAGGATGTGGCGCCGGGCGCGCGGATGTTCCGGCGTGGCACGCCTACTCGGACCCACGTTCAAGACGCCTGCGAGGATCTCCCGGCAGTGAGTCCACACCAGGGAGGTCGCGGGGGGTTGGAGCAGCATGAAGCCCCTCCTGCCATTCCTGCCACCCCTGCCGCTGCTCCTGCTGCTGCTCGCCCCGGACGCTGGCTGCGCCCCAGCCAACAAGCGGCTCCCCAAAGGTGGCGCCGGCCCGCCGGCAGCCAGGACCTCCGTCAAGCCCAAGTGGGCCAGCGGGAGCACGGCCGTGCCGGCGTGGGGTGCGGTCACACAGCTGCGGGCCCCCGCCCTCCAGCACGACACGTGCCTGGGCTACTACGACGTGAGCGGCCAGTTCGACAAAGAGTTTGGCTGCAACAACACAGACCACCGCTTCTGCTGCGGCAGCTGCTTTCTGCGCTTCTGCTGCGCCGACCGCGGAAAGCGCCTGGAGCAGACGTTCTGCACCAACTACAACACGCCCGATTGGATCAAAACGCAGCCGCCATCGCCGGCGCCCACCGGCGACGCCTACGACCCCGAGCTGGATCGGACCAACACCACCGTCTACATCAGCTGTGGCGTGGTGGCCCTGGTGGTCGCCGTGGGGATCTCTGCCAAGGTGGCCTACGACAAGGCCACCAAGACCCCCCAGGAGATGAACGTCCACAGGTGGGCCAACACGCATGCGCACGCGGCAACTTTCGAGGACGGGCAGGAATAAGAACTCACAGGATTTTTCCACCAATCGTCACTAGAATGGAACTGAAACGTCAAACTTGAGACGATTTTTGAGCAAAAGACAAAAGTGAGACAAAATTGGCATATTGACAACATATTAATAAATCACAGTTATGGCCAACTGTGACATTGTATTGCCAATTTTCCATCAAATCAAGTCATGAAAATGACCAGTCGAGATTCGGATCATAAATTGCAAAACACAAAATTCAAGGCAGATGAATGTTGTGTTTTCAAACGAAATATGGAGATTGGCAACATATTAAACAGTGTCATGATTCTATCCAAATCAGTTCCAGTATCAGCTCTGATTACGAACCACGGTTTCAATACTCCCAATCAGACACAATCTGAAGACTTCACAAACGCATCATGAAAACGAGTGTGTCAGAATGCGATGAGGCCCGATGATCACACAGCGTGCGAACGTGCGTGTCAAGAAGCCTGTAAAACGCAAAGCGCCATTGATAGTCTTGCTGCTGAAGATGTTTGTAGAACGACGGCGTTTTGAGTCCTGAGGCCAGCTCAGCTTCTTCACGAGCGCAAACACAACAACACTCGAAAGACGCACTGAAGACATCGCCTCGGGCACACACACACAGACACACACACTTACACGCTAAGATGCATTTGTACTTGCTGTGATGTTTTGTGTTGAAGAAGAACACCAAAGACTTTGGCATGCTTTGTTTCAATGTGATTGGGCAACAAAATAATTTAAGTCACGTTTCGCAGTGAAGAAAATGACTTGTCTTGCTTCATTTCAGTGGAGAGGGCTTATTGTTGGGGAAGAAAAGACCTAAGTGATGTTTTGTGCTGTAGAACATGACTTGTTTAATTTTGATTGTTGTTGTGCAGAAAAAAAAAAACGTTTTCAGATAAGGTCAGATATCCTGAATTGATTCTCAAAAGTGAGAACCCAGAGGTGACTGTGGTCAAATAATCATAGTCGTAATAATAAAGTGAATTTAATGAAGCATTTGCAGGGCCCCTGCTGTATTTTTCGACCAACAGTCGTAATGTTGACCCCCCCCCTGCTGTTCCATTAGCGGCCTGTTGGTGCTTTCAAGGCAGAGTGAGTTTAGTTTCATTGTTACTGTGAAGAGGACCGTGATGCTGATTGAGCTTTGTTGATGTCAACAAGAAAACAACTTGGGTTTGCTTTTTTGTGCTCATTGTTGTCGTCGTTGTCGGGGAGGGAAACTGCTGTTTGGTAATAAGCGACTACGACTTAGTCAGCGGTGACTCAAGCGCGGTCACCAAGTTGAGCAGCGAACACATCGACACCTGATCGGCCTCCCGTCATGCATCCTTGCTAAATGACTCACTAACTTAAATTCAGCTGAGTCACTCGCCTTGACCACACATCGAAGGCACAGAAATATAGACTCACACACAACTTTCACCGTGTGGACACAAGTATTGGGACACGGACAGTAAGCCACGAGAACAGCTTGCACTCTACTGGGAAGACTTTGTGGAAATTGTCCAGCGTGAAGATTCAGTTGCGTCCAAGATCAATTTGATTGATTGATGGAATGATTGATTTAATAACTGTGTGTCCAGATTTGTTTCATCCATATGACGTTGCAGTGAAAAGAGTTTTTTTTTTTTTTTTTTTTCATTATATAAAACTGACCTAACAAACAAGAAGCAGCTGCGAATAATAATTGGTTCCATTTTTACAGTGTTCACGACAACATCCTTATTCATAAAATGGATTTATTGTGATTTCTTAGTTTTGGATTTTCCTTGAATTTGAAATTGTGTGAAGAATGTATCAGGGAAATTAATTTTTGAAAATTGTCAACTTTTAAAAAATGTCCTTCTGCGGTGTTGTGTGCAGAATTTCACAGCAGTACAGAAATTCTGCACACAACACCCTCTAAAGACAGAGAGAAAAAATTTAAATTAAGGATTTACAATTGATCCCTGTTGTTAAAAATATATTCTGTGGGTCCAGAAAGTATTCCCAGCGCTTCACTTTCAGAGACTTTGACCATTTTCACCAAAATCCCCCCAAATCCATATCCAAAAAGGTGACTTTGCTGCTAGCCGCTGCTACCAAAGCAAATGTCTGTAATTGTGTTCTGTCCTCTCAGTGACTGATTGTGTGAGCGAGCGAGCAGCGAGCGGCTGAGCAGAATGTTGAGGCGCTGGCAGACCTTTTGCTTTGTGTGACCTTCAACGCACGACTAAACCGCTGAATTCTCTCCTTATTGATTAGCTTTTTGTATCCGAGAGAGAGAGAGAGAGAGACACACACACACACACACACGCGCGCATTGCCTGCCTGCCTGCCTGGCTGTGTGTGTTTGCGCGTGTCTGTGTGTGTTTGCGCCTTCTCATGTTGCACTCGCGTCACGGACCAGACGTGCCCAATTTGGCCAAAATAGAAGCAGGAGAGGAACAAAATGTGATCACGTGTCTATCGGCCACTTGATTAGGTACACCATCTATTGACAATCCAATACAACAAGAAAATGGCTGTGTGAGGAATCCCTCCCCATCCACTATGTAGTGCCCTCAATGTATCCCACAATGTGTCTCAATGTAGTCAACACCCAATGGTCAATGGAAAAGTAATATATCCCATCATGCATTGCGCAGAAATATCTAACGTCGCTTGGTAGACATACAGTGCTGTGAAATAGTATTTTTCCCCCTTCCAGATTTCTGTGTTCTTTGCATATTTATCACATGCAAAGGTTTCAGTTCAC